GCCCCCTGTCCCCGTCGCCATTCATCCCCCCTTTCTTTATTTCCCCCTGCGTGTGTGATTTCAGAAATGAGCTGTCACGCCTGCCGTGTGAAATTAGTTCTTCTTACGCCTGCTGAAGCTGCTTAAATTTTGTAAGAGCCAGGAGTCGCAGTGGGGTTTTCTCCGTAAGTCAGAGCGGGGGATGAAACCTATGCACCGATATATAGAGCGAGCACACCCCGAGGAGTGAAGGGCGCAGTGGCGGATAAGGTTAGGGTAATGGTTTCTCCCAGGGAGTTCGAGATTTCCAAAATTTGTTCTCTATTTTGCTTCGTCAGAGTAGAACTGTGAATTCCAACTTTCAGGCCATTTCAAGAATAAGGCCAAAAGCAGTTAAAGGAGTTGGTTAGTGTAGCAGCCTCTAATATTTTATGGTCTGAAAATTGCATGTAGAATTATGTAAGCTTAGTTTGAAATGTGCTGACTTTCCTACAATAGGAAGGAAACCCCAGAGCAGAGGCTGCACTGAACAGACCAAGATAAAACACTGCCAGGTAGCTGGACGCAACTTTTCTTCTGTCTGAGCTACACTGACATGTAAATTCACTCTGGGGTAGCCTGAAGAGAAACATATTCTACTTCTGCTTGACTACAAGCCTTCCCCCGAGCGTTTGAGATGCATTCTGCTGGAGTAAGATAGGTTATACTGACAAAATATTTGAAGGATATCCTGAAAAGTTAGGACGTGGGTAGGTTTTGTCCTGTGAATGCAGAAAGATTTGATGTTGGAAGCAAGAAGTGAGAAGAACTGAAAATACTTTTAATTGTATACATATGCCTGGCAGCTGGAATGCCACCAAACAGGGAGTCCTCACTGTTATCAGCTGGGTTTGGAAACTGGAGGAAGAATGTCAACATTTTCATGGAGCTGGGGATCTCTCTCTCACTTTCTAGTTTCCATCTTCCTCTGTCTTCTCTGAAGCAATTCATCCTACCATAAAGACAGAGCTGACTCAAGGCTTCTAATTACTGTAAGCCAACCCAAAATTTGCATGGGAAAGGAGCGAAGGAAAGGAGAGGGCAGAGCAGCTTGGGGTTTGGAGGAAGAGTGGAGAACAGCGTGGCAGAAAGTGTGAGTAAGATATTGAGGGTTTTTTCTTGCATCCGGCTTGTAGCCTTCTCAGGGCCTTTCCTCCCTCCTCTGGAGGCTGTATTCTCTCTCCCCTTCTCTCACCCTGCAAAGGTGTCTTTGCAGCCATCTACACATTTCCATCGCCGTCGTCTGGCAAGAGGAAGCCCTGTGTTCCCCCCTTGCCGGCAACCTGTACTGGGCCATGGCAACTGCTGACATTGCCCATGCTTGAAGTTGGCCTTGCTTAAATGGTAGAGATCGGGTTAGTAAACAGAGCTTAAGTGCATGGCTGTAAATGACAATGCTGCCTAGTAGGACCACTGCTCTGGTCTGTAATGAGAGTTACCATTTTCATCAAGTTCCTTGGCTTGGACTTCTTCCAGTTATACTGAAGTGTAGTTAGTTCATTACAAGCAACAAGTGGTTCATTATAAGTGATGAAAATCTTGGCTTCCAAGACTGCCTTTGTAAGTAGTGAGCACTTGAGTAGAGTGTTTCAAGTGGGAGGCTCCAATGCGTCTATTGAGGACTGTGTGTTTTTGTTTTTTTCTTTTTAAAGAGTGGCGGAAGGGAGCCATGGTACTCCACCCATTTGCTTGCAGAAAGTCTCTCTATAAAGTGAAGTTAGTTATGGGTCCAGCTGGGAAGATTTCAGCCATCACGGTGGAATCACATCAACCCAGGCACCTCTAAGACTTTCTATGTGAACTAGCAGTTAGTGAATGAACTTTCCTTAGGGCTCACAAAATTCAGCTACAGAGAAATATCAAATACCCAGACCCTGAGGAAGGGCTGAGAAAGGGAGGAGTGTTCTAGGAAAGAACATAGAAAAGGCATTCTTGAGCCTGACAGAAGAACTGGGTTTCTTAATACCTTGTATCTGTTCAACAGCTATATTAGGGCAAAGCAAAATAAAACCGGCTTTTCCACATTAATATCACATTATTTATCATCAAACCATGCTAGTTTGTGACAGGCTGAAAATAAAGAAAAGGAGGTACAAGGTGTAGTTAAGCTGTGGAACTCCTTGACGCAGAACATTGTGGACACAATGGGCAACCATGGAAGAGGAATCCATTGAGGTTTCCTCACACTACAGAAACTGCCTCTGGTATAAAGTCCATGAGGTGCAAGTGGTTGTAAGCTAAGAGACTATGAGGGAGGAGGGACATACATGGTTGCCCTATTCTTGTGCTCTACCCTAGGCATCCGCGTTTGGCCAATGTCAGAAACAGGATTTTAGGCGAGGTGGGCCTTTGGTCAGGCCAGGAAAGCTATTCTTACGTTCTCATCATAGCATTTCTTTATTTTGACACCTTATCATTTATCCATAGATATGTAAAATTATCGTTCCTCTTGAAATTTAGTATTAATTGAGCAATAACCAACACAATACTTTGAAGGTAACTTTGTACATAAAAGTTAATGTTTAAATATGTGCATTTCTGCTATATCAATAACCTGGACTGTTATGGTCAACTGGTGTCTGCAAAATCTCGCACCTGGGATGACTCTGCTCTGCTTTCAAAACCTTCAGATATCTTTTAATATGACCGCATACACCCCAGAGTTTAGGCCTGTGAGTCACTGTAATCTCCAGATGTCTTATGAAAGCCCACATGTCTTCTCCAAAACCTGAGTTAGCTACTTTAAAGCCAGGGTGGGTATCTTTATACTGTATGTTGTTTTATGTATATCTTAGTAAGTAAACTCCGGGTCAAAGTTTGTGTTCCATGCAGGCGAAGGGGAAAAGCATCAAAAATTATGCTAAAACAAAACCACTCTCTGAATTTGGCATCAGAAGCAACAAGCTGTGTTTGAACCGTAGTGCTCAGTTAGCTAAAAAGTTATAATTGTTACCTTTTATAGGCAGGAACTATGTCTATATGGTGAAGATGTCTGAAAATTATAGGAGTCGTTGGTCTATTATACAGCTTTTAAAGTGATGTTACCACTTCTTTTTCCACGTTGCACACATACTCCTCTTTTTTCATGCTAGATCTTTAGCTAGCTTGTAACCAGGCTGTTTCACTGGGTAGCAGTACTCATTCTAAACTAAGCTCAAGAAAAGGAAAGCGGTTATCTTTGCCCTATTTTACACTGCTGTTACACTGTAAACCAGAGAGCTTAACCACATACGTATCCTTGAATTGCTTGGCTTTTAAAGTTTAATCATAGGCCCTTTCTTTCTGCACAGCTGAGGTTTCCATGTAGTTGGAATGAAGGATATGAGAACGGAGCGCAGCTTTCCCAATGGCAGCAGCCCGTAGTTGGTTAATACCACTGACATCACTGCTGCCAAAGGAGAAAAATGGTCTTTTCAGTAATGTTTTGAGCTCAGAATCAAGACTTCTGGGTTCAGTTTCTGGCTCTGCCACAGACTTCTAACAATTTTACGTTCTGTCTGCATGTTTCCCAACTACAGATGGGAACAATACTGCTTTTTGTCTTTCCCATTTGAAGTATTAGCTCTTTGTGTGGTGCATCCCCCCATCTAGGTGGGGCTTTCCACATGTGACCGTAAGGCACAGACAGCACAGTTCCTGCAGCCTTTGTGGGATCCTGCAGGAAACAGGCATGTGATGAGTCAGCAGACTTGTCCCTCCTACTTGGCTGGGCTTTCCTGCGTGTGTATAACCAGAAGACTCCCCTAGACCCGCAACCTTCTACTTTCCTCACTCATCCATCCCCTCCAACCATGGATTTTGAAATTCTCTGACATCCTGAGAGAGATTCAGACACCCACACATCACATAGGAAATGAATGAGGTTTTGGTGGCCACGGCACACAGGGAGATACAACGCAGGATCTGTAGGAGACCCATGCCTTTCAGAGCAGCAGAAGCTGAAAGCATTTAAAATGGGACTTGCCACCTTGTTTAGGTGCCCAAATTGCTCCGTCACCTCCAGACAACATAAACTTTGAAAGGGGAAAGGAGATCTTTCTAAGTTGGTTCCTCGGGAAAGCAATTAGCAAAGTGCCATTTTCCATAGCAGGCAGATTCACAAGTCTTAGCTGGGTGGGTAATGCAGAACGACTGGTGACTTCTAGGTCACTTAAAGCTGCTGCTTTTTTGGCCATTACATGAAAGAGCACAATTGGTCTGGTTTCCTAAGGGTTCCTAAGTCTCACGAGCGTAGTCTGTCTGTCCATCTCTGCCTGGATCCCAACTTTTGAATGCGACTTTTGAATACATTGGTGGTTTTCAACCATGTTCTACCTACAACCAATAGCTGTAGAGAAGAGAAGCAGAAGAGTAAAACATAATTGCATTCCTATGGGATAAATAAAAACAGGGCGCTGTACAGAGTGGAATGACTCAGACTACTGCCCCACTGAGGGAAAAGCAGGTAAAACTCAGCTGTTTCCACCTTCCAAGTAGGTAGCTCACCATGGATGCTGGCTGACTCGTCTGTGCCCATCTTGCTAGAGACCATTGGAAGCGTCAGAGGCAATACAGGGAATATCTGAGGCATTTCTATTTTGAGCAGAGTGTTAAATTCTGTTCCACTGATGTCAGTGCTAATATTGCATGATTATACTTTTAAGATACTAAGAAAACTGTCTATATTTCCAACGCATATTTTCAAATCTCTTTTTCTTGTTTTAGAAAAAAATAGGTAAAATGGAGCACATGTTACTCCTATTCATATTTTTCATACCTATATTGGGTCTCACTAATGGAACAGAAACTGAACAAGATTTTACTTGGCACTTGAAGAAGATTCCCCAGATTGTGAGCGAAAGAACTTTCCCCCTTGAGAGCCCTAAATTTGAAGCAAAAACCAAATTAGAGCTGAAGAGTGTATGTGGAATCGAATGTCAAAGAAAATTGCCAGTGCCAAGCTCGTCTGACTTGAAGGACCTCTTATCCTATGAGACCGTTTTTGAAAACGGCACACGGACCCTGACTGAAGTGAATGTCCTTGGACTAGTGCTTGACCCAGCTGGAAACACAACCACACAAAGGTCTTCGAGAAAGAAGAGGCAGATATATGGAACGGACAGTAGGTTCAGCATCTATGACAAGCGGTTTATGACCAACTTTCCGTTCAACACAGCTGTGAAGATCTCCACCGGCTGTAGTGGCATTCTCATTTCCCCCAAGCATGTGCTAACAGCTGCCCACTGTCTGCACAACGGCAAGGATTATGTTAAGGGCAGCAAAAGACTGAGGGTAGGCCTGATGAAGACAAAATCCAGAGGCGACGGCAGGAAACGCAAAGGTGCTAAAAGAAGTAGGAGAGACGTTTCTGCAGCCCAAGAGGATCCCAAAGTTGCCACAGAACTAAGGCGACAATCCAGAGGTGGTGGGAGAAAGCAGAGGAGATCTGGGAGGAAGCAGGGGACCTCAGATGGCACGCCCTCCTTCCAGTGGACCAGGGTGAAGAGTACCCACATCCCGAAAGGCTGGTTTAAGGGTGTCTCTGGGGATATTGCTCTGGATTATGATTATGCTGTTCTTGAGCTCAAGCGTCCCCACAAAAGGAAATACATGGAGCTGGGAATCAGCCCAACAATCAAAATGATGCCTAGGAGCATGATCCACTTCTCAGGTTTTGACAATGATCGATCCGGACAGCTGGTCTATAGATTTTGTAGCATTTCTGATGAGTCCAATGATCTCTTTTATCAGTACTGTGATGCTGAGCCCGGCTCCACTGGATCTGGCGTCTATCTCCGTCTTAAGGAGCCGAACAAAAAGAAGTGGAAACGCAAGATCATCGCTGTTTACTCAGGCCATCAGTGGGTGGATGTCAATGGTGAACAGCAGGATTACAATGTAGCAGTAAGAATCACTCCTCTCAAATATGCCCAGATTTGCTTCTGGATACACGGGAATGATGAGAATTGCACACAAGGCTGAAGAGGGCTGAACCTGACTCGCTTAGCACCCGTATTACCATAGAGTGAAAGTCTGCTGCAGCAGTTACTGGAAGAACATCACTCCACGTCAGGATGTTTTTGAACTCAAAGCTCACAAGTAATGTTACGGTGACTTGAGGAACGCTGAATTGCTGGGGGATGGGTAGAATTGTCAAACAAAATATTTCTAATTGTAATCAACCCTAGATATGCACTTAAAATCCCAAACTGTATTTATGTTTGCAATTGTGATAAATCGAAATCAGTCACATCAGAAAAAAAATGACTACACCTGTTTGTCATTTTTTTTCCAAGGGAAGGATTGAAACGTCTCAAACTGGTATTATTAAACAATATCTATTTTTCCAATGGATTTGCTTTTCTCAGGGTTCTGTTCCAATTCTTCAAATGCAAGTTGTGCATACAGCACACTACTGTATGTGCAGAATGATCCAGAGAACTGCATGAGACCAAGACATTATTTTGGCATTCTCTAAAGACCACAGCTCCATGTTGAGAAGCAGCAGTCTAGTTCATGCTTGTTAGTTTGGAAAACTTCCTCCTGTGGTTGCTGCAGGAACACTTCCATGGAAATCCCAACTTTCTGTAGCTGAGGGTTAGATCTTAAAGACAAGTTTGACTTCATTGCTCAGTAAAAACAGCAAAAAGAAATTAATGAACATAGAAGCTTCCATGTTTGGAAGAAGAAGGAACATCAGGACATAATTTAATGCCTTTAAATCTTCTTTGAGAAGATTTAAGAAGTCTTAAACACATGCATCTGCATTCCAATTAGTATTTGGAGAGCTGTACGTTTAGTTTCTAGTCAAATGTTCAGCTTTACCATTGGGAGAAGTCACTGACTTCTGAAGTGGCTATTTGACAATCATTTAGAGCTTCACAGATTATAGATTTTTTGGGTGCTAACCATTTTTGCCGTTTTTATAAATTACTTTTATACGAGTTCAGCTTCATAGATAGGATAGTATGTATTAGACTGGGAGTCGGAAAGCAATATTTTAGTTTGGCTTTATACGGTTTTGCAAAATGGGTAGTTTTAATCATGTCGTATTCAGACTCCACCTCAACATGAGTTACAAGATTAAACTAAAAATTTCTCCCAACTAAATTGTACCACCTTCTGCACAGTAGAGGAACTATCCTGTACATTATGACAGATATCTTGTTAGGTAGCAGCAGTAGTTAGCAAATAAATTGGTTCAATATGTTTGCTGAACCATATATTTAATGAAAACACAAAGTGAGCTTGACTTTTACACACCTTTAAACACAAATCACCTTTTAAAAAATTGTTGTTGAAGCTACTCAAGTCTATATCTTTTATTTCATACCAAGATTTTGAAGCGCACAGGATTGTTATGGTGCTACGTTAATCTAATAACATAAAATGATACTGTGTATTTCCAATCATATCCTTTGGGTTTCAATACTTTTAAGATTATTCACCACCACAATATTTCATTTTTTTAATCATAAGTTTATGCTGACCAAAATACATTTTCTTCCTGTGCAGAAGAAAAAACATAACAAGATTTTAAAATACTATTTGTTTGTTGGTATCTTTAAAATATGCCTGTAATCTCTTTTGAAGAAATAGGATCATTTTTAATAACCCACTTTTTTGTAGATGATTGAAAGTATAAAACCTGACACTTTGAATGTGCAGGCAACTTTCTTTGTCATATTATTGCCAAAGCATAAAAATTTAAGACTTGCTTCCATACCATAACTCTAACAATATTTCATTAAGTGGAAGAGATCTCACTTTAAAAGAAACTATTTCTTTCAATGTCAGCCTTTCCAGGGAACACTGGAAAGTGTTTAATTTTGTGTGATTGTTTGCAGAAAACTGATAATTTTTAAAGTTTAGAAATTAATGTCTAAGATTTTAAGGTTAATTATTTTTTATTGTTGTTAACATCTCTATTAAGACATATGGTTTCACTGACAGTAATTTTAAATCACCTCCAGTATTTAATACTCTTGCTCTATGCAACAGGCCTACAATATTCTTTAGTCGGCTCTGTAATGTTTCTTAAGTGCCTTTTTCCATAGTTACTGTGACAAATAAGGTACCACATCGTTAATCCAATACAAGTCAACCTGGGTCCATGGATTCTGTTACAATTCTCATCATTGATTTGGTCCAAAACTGATCAAGATAAGGTGGCTTAGTAAATTCCTTGTTTTGGTGAGTCTCATTTAGGTGTACTCCTTAGGAGCAGAAATGTAATCTATTTCTTTATTAGTTTGGGAATCAGGGACGAGGTAAGAATGAAAAATGTTGATGTCAGCTTTCAAATGGTCTTGTTATAATAATCATCAGCTATAAATACCTCAGCCACAACCTGAAGTTCTCATACCAGGCTGATAAAAAATGTTTGTCCTCAGAGGAAAAATATTAGATGTACAATCCCGCATTTTATGGTACTAAGAGATTAAAGAGGCTGGCCAGAGCAACATAAAAATTAATCAAAACTATATATATATATATCTATTCAAGCTTCTGTGTCTGAGAGCACATGCACAAACACAGGCAAATACAAGGGCTTGTAAAGCATTTGCCGTTTTGACCAGGTCAGCGCCTTCAGGCAAGGGAATGCAGGCGCAAGAAGACATGGACGAAATGTTATTCCTGTTGTATCTGCATGCCGGGCAACATTTCAGTCTGCCACTTGGCCTAATAGAGAAGGAAATGCTTTATGTAGGTATTGTGACTGCCTACTATAGGGACTTGTGAAGTAGTTCATAAATTGAGTACTTGCACACAACCCCAGGAGGTCAATGTCCCACATAGAGCTCTTGGTACCAGCCACTGCAAATGAGACAAGAATTTCTGAGCCGCGATCATCTCAGATTTCCTTAAAAAAGCTGCAGTTAGTATCTAGTTATCAATGAGAAAATAGGAGGAGGGGGTGTTCTTAGTAGATCGGATCTGCTGTTGTCTAGGACACCAGCATCAAGGCTGGGTTCCCAGCCCAGAAGGGGACAGTGCCCCAAAGGATTTTTCCCTCTTTCAAGTAAGGGGCTGTACATCGTTTGTTTTCATCGGTACTAATGCTTTTCCATAAGTGTTCCTATAGGAGATCTTTAACTGTATTCCTGGCTTTAGGAAAAAACAAACTCAGTCAAATCCCTTTTCTGTGAAGGGGCCACTGGCAATTTGTAATGTTAACAAGTAAGTTTTTCCCAGGCCAAAGATAAACCTCATATACAAACCGTTAACACACCCAGACCAGCTTCTGCAAGGCATTTGTGCATGCATTTAATTTGGGGCTCTGAGACATACGATGGTAGTCAAGGGGGTTATCTGCAGTGTGAAAAATTAAGTCTCAGTTTGTATTATCTTAACAAAAGAAAAACACAATGTTAGATAGCAAAATTATTTCTGTTATATGAGGTGTAGAGTACCCCATGCGTTAAAAATTGCTTAAAGAAACTCCTTGACTCAGTTTATAATTTACCATCCAAATTTTGCAGATTTATGAGTCTATATGCAGTATGAATCAGCACAGAATATGGCTTAAATAAAAAAATAATTCATCTACATGCAGAGGAGAGAAGCAGCTGGGGAGTTCCTCCTATTCTGCTGATAAGGGATGACCTGGCAGCAAACAGCCATTAATACAGAAAGAGAGAGCGAGAGAAGTAGATGGTACGGAAGACCAGGAAGACGGAGGTGGTATGCAAGGGATAAAGAAAGTGTGAAAAGTAACAGATGAAATGGCTGCGAGGTAGCAGAGAGACCTATTGTGAGAAAGAGTAGGCAGCTGGTAAAGGCGTAACAGTATAAATTAAGATGTAAAAATCACAAGTTACATGAACAATCTCCTTTCGCTGTTAAAGATGAGGCTGTTCTTCCCAGCCAACAGCACCAAGGAAAGGGCTGCGAGAGGGCTCAGGTTCTGGCAGGCACCACTAGCAGGCAGGGGTAAAAACCCTTGATCTGCAATCCCTGCCCGAAGTCACAGGGATTGCGCTTGTGGTCGTTTAGGGTCCTTGGGACGCAACAGATCCGTGTCCTGGCCAAAAGGCTTGGCAGGATGAACCTCCCAGCACACTGGGTCACCAAGAGTGTAGTGAGTAAAGGGAGTTCCTTTCACTTGAAAGTTCTCAAACCTGACATTTTGTTGGGATTCTTGTAAAGGCTGTTCTCCATTGGGAAAAAACAAACAAACAAACAAACAAAAAATATCAGACTTGAAGCATTTAAATGTTGGCTCCATTTTTTGCATGCACCTACAAGTTCTAGCCAACAAATTTTTTTCAAATACCTTCTGTTTGGTATCTGTAGAAATTTAATCAACTGCTTCTAATTTTAAAGCACAGAATATTGCAGATACTTCCATCTACAAATTACTGGATTAAAGAATGAATGGGGAAAAAAAAAAAGAATATTGTTAAATTGAAAGCTTAAAATTGCACACTAATCTCAAAAGATTTGGAAGTATATTTGAGTCCCTGTTGCACCAACCTTTTGCTCCGAGTGTGAGATAGCATTTAGGTTAAAAACCTCCAGAGGTAGCTTTGATGATTCTTTAATGTTCTTAACTTTTTAAAGACTGACAGCAAACTTCAAAAAATGTGTTTTTATAATATTTTTAACTGCACAAAATGACAACTCATTCGAGAAAATAATAAATGCAAACCTTTGCTATATTAAGATATTATATGATGCACATACTATGTCAATAAATATTTTCTATTGTTTTTCTTTTCCTCTGTCATGATGTAGTTTGTTAGCTATGGTGGTTTCACAAACTCCATTCTGTAAACGCTTGTAACAGGTTATCAGTGAATCAGCTGGGACATGGTCTTACGAGATATTAGTGTCTCCTTAAATTTGTTCTGGGAAAAAAACTCCCTGTCTACTCCGGTCTTCAAGATAATTACTCCATGAGCAAATTTGATGAGTAAAAAAAAATTGGTTCAGCAAGGAAATGACTCACAGACTATGCCACAACTTATTAATTCTGAAATAAGTAATTAGTTCTGTTTCTGCTATTAGCTATCGTTGTATTTTCTACCCCAGAGAGCTGTTGAACCAGGCCAAATTAGAAGTGCGTAAAATATTATAATCTTGGTTCTCAGCATTATCTTAACTCTGTGCCCTTGAAACTGGTGCTGATTTGATCACTGACAGTAAAAGGAGAGATTTTTGGCAAGGACGAAACCTGCTGGAAATATTTCATGGAAAGTTTAGAAATGATTACAGCAGTGATTAACAGTGTATCTAATACAAGCAATATTTAACAGGGGTCTGGCAAGGGCTCCCCTGCCAGCTCTGGTGGTCTTTATGTGGGGGAGGAGTGAGGGCCACAGGGGAATAAATAGGATCGACAGCTTCGTC